TGAAAATTAATGTAGTTGTATTTGACAAAAACATGAAATGAACAATTTTAGTGGCTAAAAACTAGAGGGGGAGGAGAATGATGATGATAATATCACCTTGGTAGAATTTTGGGAAATAAGAGGAGGACATTTTAAGAGAGAAAGGTACTGGTTGTATATGGTCTGTGTGACGAATGAATGATTGTGGAAAGGAGAAAGCTGAGTGCAAAAATGTGCTTCTCCCCAATTTTGAAAGGTAAGAATGTTAGATGACATATAAATTGAATAATGTGATGATGAGGTACTTAAGAAGTATGTATAGTAACATAAGTAGAGATTGGATCAAGAATAAATGGATGGTTAAGAAAAGGGTTACACTAAGGCAGTTTGATTATATGGAGAGAATAAATCCCAAAACAAATATGTGAAATAACAGTGATTGTGTCAAGAGGAAGCAGAAGATGGGAAAAGTCATGTTTGAATTGGGTTCACATGATAAGAGCGGCGATGGCATAGTGCTTACAATGCAGTACTGCAGACTACTTCTACTCACTGCTGCAATTTGGTAGATCAAATCTCACCAGGCTCAAGGTTGACCCAACCTTCCATCCTTCCGAGGTGGGTAAAAATGAGAACCTAGATTTTGGGGGTAATATATATATATATATATTCATAATAATATTATAATAGATATATGAATAATAATAATGAATAATAATAATGAAGAAAGATATATGAAGTGACATATACGGTAAGTCTAAGTGCTATTCTCAAAAAGAAAGTGAGAAATCTAAAGAATAAAAGGGAATGTATGAAGGATATTATGAATGAGAGCACAGAAGCTTTAAAAGGACAAAAAGATGTGGAGAAGTCTAATGAATAGCTTTTTCCTTTCCTCTCCTCTCATTTCCTTTCCTTCATTTTGCATAGCATTGTAAAAGGAATGGCATGATAGATATTTAAGTCTATGGATTTAATGCATGTATTTATGTTTAAATGTACAATCTAATTCATTACTTGTTTTGAAGGGCAAAATAAATCTCTAAAATTAAAATAAGTGGGGCGGGGGAGAAATGAATATAATTTTGTTGGCCAAACAAGAAATAGAACAAACAATTTATGGCCATAAGAGTTGTAGAGGCTCAGCTGATCTTATGAAGTGGCTGGACTAGTGTAATTGCAGCCAACCTATCACATCCTTTCCTCTGAAGGTCTGGAAAAAGTTCTGTAGCACTCAATTCTTGTAGCACAGGAAACAGGATCATCCACCAAGGAAGAATCAAAACATAAAAGCAAGCAGTCACAGCAACACAATCAAAGCCATGGGCCTTTTTATGGGCATGGAATATTAATGCATATATGAAAGGGGTAAGGTTTGATTGCGTGGTTACAACCACCATCTTGACTTTTTGACTATTCCATAGATGCACCTGAGCAGAACTTTAATTGTCTATCTGTAGCAACTGTGCAAAACCTCAAGCCACTATGGGAAAAACAGAGATATAGACCAGTTCTCATGTTGTAGAGCACTAAATCCCATATCTTCCATTTCTGTTGGTTTTGTGTGAATAATTAGGAGACTATACATTCTGGTTTTTCTGGGTTAGTCCCAGTTTTAGATGAGGTATCCTAAACATGGAAAATAAGTCAATTTACAGGGGCCAATCCACCTGGCTGGCAGCTGTAGCCCAGGTCTGCATTTGCTGCTCATTTTGTTTGCATGATATCTTGAGTTCTTAAAATAGATGATCAGGCTATTTGACAGTAGCAGCCTGGAAATATTGAAATACCTCCTGGAAGAATGGAAAATGGGGATGGAAAATAATTTCTGCTTTATGCTCCATTTTCTGACTGATAGGTAAAGGGAGTGTCTTATTGGATACTAGATTTGGTCTGCAACAGTTCATACAGCCACTGTCCTACAGTGGCCATTGGAATGTAAGCACCCCTGATTTGGTTGCAGGAGCCCGTTGTTTGTTTGTGGTTTTATCACAAAGTAAAAGTGCAATAGTGAGCACAAAGTATCTACAATTAATGAAAGACGCTTCTTGACAACAATAATAAAAAAAAACCTTGCAAACATTTAGGTCCAATTAAGGTGGGAGGTGGGATTTCTCTCTGAAACTTTTATTTGGGTTAGTAAATGTATACAAATTAATACATCCATCACCTCATGAATTATGCAATCTTCTCAACTAGTGCTAATTGTGGAAGAAGATATAATCAGACCTCTTTAGAAAATCTGAGCTATCATGAGTCTCTGAATAGCAAATATGATTAATAAAGAAAACAAATAAATAATGCATCTTTCAAATGAGCATAGATTCCATTCCTTTGCATAAAAGAATGTGAGCATTATCTGACTTCTTCTAATGAAACCATTCAGTGATCTCAGTCACTGAGAAAACAATCTTCTCCAGTAGGAAAACAATTTTTTCTCATTCAAGCTGGGTGGAAACTCTTCAAGTGACCACATTCTGTAAACTAGTAGATTGAAAATAGTTAGCAGGCCCCCCTTTAGTGCCTCCTATATTTTCTCCTATATTTTAATAATTAAAGTATTATCTTTAAAAAATTTAAAATATTAAGCAGCAGTGAAGCCAGACATGGCTGGTGAATTTAGTAACAATGGCAAAGGCTTCATTTCAACTGTTTTGGATGGCACTCAGTATGCTACTGAAGAAAAATGTTAAGATCTTTTGGAATACTAATAGTGTTTAAGATGTGGCTAATTAAAATCAGGATATCCTGCTACTGAGGTGTACATACAAGAAAACACAATTTAAAGATGCAAAGATATAAATGCAGATGGAAGATGAAATAAACATGGGAAAGCTCAATGGAAGATAAATGAATGAAATTAGCATTTTAGGCATCAGAGAATTGCAATGCTGTTGAATTGGCCATGTTCAGCCAGAAGATTATGCTGTTTACAACTAAAGACTAAAAAAAGGAAAGAAATGGTGCTGTTTTTCATAATCATAAAGAATATAGCAAGGACAGTACTAAGCTACAGTACAGTTAACGACCAACAAACACAATTTTTACCTCATGGAGAATCCTGTCATTTGGCAATTATCCAAATTTATGCTCCAAACAGTGATGAAGAAGAACAAGTTGATAATTTTGTAATTAACTTCAATCTGAAACCAACAAAATATGCAAGCAAGATGTGCCAAACCTTACCGGAGACTTGGAAGCCAAAGTTGGAAATAGTAAGGAGGACAACATAGCCGGACTGAACCAAAGCAAGAGAAAGACTTATCCCTTTCTGCCAATTCAACTATTTGTTTTATAACTAACACATACTTCAAACAACCAAAGTGATGCCTTTATACCTGTGATGATGAACATGCACAGAACCCTCTCTGTGGGCACGGGCGTTGTTGCCAGCTGCTCTTTCAGGGTCCGGTGTGCATGCACGCAACGGAACCTGGAAGAGCAGCTGGCCGCTGCACACATGCACACTGGCCAGCTGCTCTCTTCTGGGATCCAGCTCTTTTGCGCGTGTTTTCTGTACTCGGTGCCAAAAAAGTTATCCATCACTGCTATCTACTGTACATAGATATCACAAGACAGAGTGTGCAGAAGCTGATATATTATTAGTACAAGAAGGCAGAAGAGCTTTGGGGGGAGGGGTGTACACCTATTTTTTTATATCTCTGATGCCACAATAATTATTAATGTCTTTATATGTGTAACTGAACATGTATTTGAACTTCTCCATGTTATAGCTGAGAGGAATTTCTGAAACACTTTCTCATACAGCAGGAAAGGAGTGATAAAATTCTCTCAAAATAAAAATTAATCAGAAATACATACCCAATGTAATTATTTGCATATCAAACAAAGCATATTACTTGTGCCTGGCTACATGCAGATATGATATGGATGTAATTTCATGTTCCACAAAATAGGTAGTGAAGAGCTGGAAGCCACTTCTCATCTGGGAAGAAAACTTCATGTGCATAAGCTACTTTTTAATAATCATTAGGTATTTCATTTCTTCCTGTGTTCTCAGTAGACAGCTAGAGAAATACGGCTTCAGAGAAATCTGTGTGAGAGAGTGAGGCTGAAGTAAGGCTTAATTCCCTTAGTCCACCAGAAGCTTTCTGTTTGTGTGGGTCAATTGAAGTCTTCTGTTTTCTCTCTCCTGTCTCTGGAAATATTAGCAGCTTGTCATCTCAAATATAAAACAACTTTATGACAGTGAATAGGAGCTGAGCCAGTCAAGTCACTGTCTGAGTGAAAGGCCAAAAGGCATTCCTTCCTCTGAATTTCCTTTAAAGCTGGCAACCAGGGTAGCTCAGGGCACTTTTGACAATAGTTTGGAAGACTCAAGAGAGATAATATGGCAAACAGTTGTGACACAGAGATCCAGGGCTTTGTTGCAATTATTGGCTTCCTTCCATCACAACATTTGCTAGCTGGAGAACTTAACTCAATGTCGGTAATGGTAGAGGGAACCTACAAAAGAAAGATTTACCCTTCTTTACTGCTGTGGGCTTGAAATGAGGATGTGTGTGTGGGAATGTAGCAGAAAGAGCAGATATGGCCAACTGTCTGGTAAACTCATAAGATTCATTTTTCTTGCCATGTGCATGTATATATCCGAACTAAACTGTGTTGTTTCTCAGTGTAAAATAATATATGTGGGTATATGCATAATTATGTATGTATTATGCATGTGTGTATGTACAGTATTTATATATTTATTTATTCATTTATTTATTTATTTGTCATGGTTATGTGGTGTATATTGCAGGTGGTGACTCTGAGAGCTATATGCAATGAAATTTCATTTTAATATATGCTGATTAGTCTACATTCAAAGTGACAATAAAGTTATCCTATCCTATCCTATCCTATCCTATTCTATTCTTGCATACTTCAATGATAAAGAAGCAACCTTTTTTTAAGTCATACTTTTGTCAAGTAGCAATTAATTTCCCAAAGGTACCAGACTTAAAATTTGCCATCTAAGTTCACTGCCTGGAGTCTGAGCAGATTAATTAATTAAATCAAAACATCCTGTAAACAGAAAAGATGAAAGGACTAATCCATTCTCTTCCCTTTCAGCTTATAAAGAAAAGATGAAGGAGCTGTCCATGCTTTCTTTGATCTGCTCCTGTTTTTACCCAGAATCTCGCAACCTTAATATATACACATATGATGGTAAGTAGTTTTCAGCAGCAATTGTTTTCCTTAGTGAAGTGTTTATGTGTTCTTCCATGGGAGATGCACATTTTCGTCTTGTTTTGTTATTTAACAATGATTTCCAACCTGGAACCTACAAGATACGTTGACTTCTCTTCCCATGCTGCAAAACAGCACAAGATTACGGATTCTGAAGTCAAATATTTTAGAAAGCACCATGTTGGAAAACTATGATCATGTTCGGAAATTGAGAGCATGTCATGAAAACTCCCCAAAAATGACTGTCATGTTATGATTATAAAATTCCACTTAATAGAAAAACAGCTTGTGCAGTTCTGATCATTCACATGTTCTTATCCTCCTGGTGTATCCT